ATTATGATCTATGATCAAAATTTAAAAACTGAATATCTATAAAAGAAATTTATACTTTATTTATCTATTTAAAAAAATGCTATGTTGAAAAGTGGAACACATCCTGTTCCTGCAAAATATTATTATGTTATTATAACTATATTAAATGCACATATTATTTCGGTGGTGTACCAACACTTGGTTACAGCCTTACAGGTCATATACAAGATCGATATCAGAGACAAAAGGAAGGAAAAATAAAAATAAACAAGTTAGGCCTTTGAATTAATTAAAGTTATTCGTGGTGGCAAGAGCGACGGGATAATGTTTAATTGAGTTACATCCTTCGTCTCTGTAATGATGTCGCGTTCTTTCCTGACTTGACCGTAGAACGTTAAATTATTTATAACGTCAGTTATTATGATCATTGTTGCAATTATTGTCCTYGTTATTATTATTAAACTTAAGGGGCTTTTTGACACCGCAAACGATAAAACGTTTACAACGCTATATTGTCGTTCTTCCTAGTACTACAATGTTATCATAATTTATCGAAGCTAAGCACTAAAATATTTAATTTAAATTTCTGAAAGATTATACAGGTAGGACCAATGTTGAATACTATATTATTATGTTGAATTTTGAATTTAATGTTAATGAATATAATATGAACCATAATACAATTTTTATGTGGTTAGGTTAGGTTAGGGTTAGCCATCAATTTGTGTGAATATAATGTGCTATATTATATAGATTCACAAAAACAAGTGAGGTAATTATTTTTTTGTTTTATTTAAGATTATACACCGCACGATCTTGCTTTGCTTCGTATCTACAAGCCTACAATTTGCATTATTATAGTAGTAAATGATACGGCTCAATCTACAGATATATAAGATTTKTCGGTAACATAAACTGTACAAATTGTTAATCATACCTATTAAAATTGTACAAWATTTATGTATATATCCATACGCTATAGATAATTTTATATTAAACATATAAAAATTATATTTTTATTTATTGTTTCATATACAAATATTATCGTGGTTATAAAACAAGTAGGAAAGTATATATTTTTCGGGACGAAAAAAAATCTATTTGTATAGGCTGTCATACGTACTTAACCAGCCAATTTCTCATAGTTCCCCCTTTTCAGGCCGGTCGTTTGTCTTCACACTTGTCTATCACGATGTCCGACCCCTTGTCAAAACTTCCCTCAACTGAAATGCATCACAACTTATGTATTCTGTCAGAACTATTTCCCTAGAGAAACCTTACCCATATACACGAAATAAATAAAATAACTATTAACTTTTTTCGGTCAAAACATTATAAACTTGAAATACTTTATACCTACACTTAATATAAAAAATTACATTTACTAATAACCCTACATTTKTACTACGATATTATCACACAATACCTACGTAACGCGTTGATAAGTGATAATACTGATATTAGTGATTACATTGAATAGTATAATTTTATCCTTATAATTTGATAAGTTATGTCCGTATTATTATAATACATAAAATGGTATGATATTTTTTTCAAAGCAACTTCATGTTTAATAATATAATATTATACATTTATACAAATAGTATACATTTATTTAAAATATTTTTTTTTAAATATAAATTTGTTTGTTATAATATAAATCTGTGTTAACATAATATATCTCAGTATATAGTACACTGAAATAATAAAAATAAATTATAAACCACATGTAGTAGGTATAATTTTATTTAAAAGAAGTCGAGCGAATAAAGCGATATGAAATATTATGTACCAATTCTAAAAGACATTAAGTAAAAAACACATACATGAAATTTAAAAGAGAAAATATTAAATTTYAACCAAAATATCGTACGACTACGCAAAAAAATATTTCCGCCTGAATTCGTTCAGATAAATAAATACGATTAAGTTTTTTCCAGATCCACAGTAAAAAATATTTTTGAAAGCTTAAAAAACATGTAAAAATGACGACGGCTCACAAATATTTTAGAGTCAATTATATACCTACTATCTATACATGTTTTCTCTACCTCTACTTGAGTGTCATATGCTTTGCAATAAATATTTCTTTATAAATCGAGACTTATTAGGCTCCATTGGTTGTCCTAAGATATAGTTTTTAATTTGTTTTAAAATTAATTGATTTAATACTAGAAATTTAAAATAACTGTAATATTTTATTCAATMATTTTAAATAAAAATTTATTTTAATTTTTATGCTATACCCTGCTAAATTCTTCAAATAATTACTGGTAATACGCATGTTTTTAATTAATAGTTTCAAATTTGAATAATAAAATATGTTCTTTTTAGCTTTTCTCATTTATATCCAATTTAATATTGAAAGTGATATTAACTGTTCCTAAGTGTTTGTATTCTGCTCCACAGTTGTTTTTAATAATTTAGGATTTARGATTTTAATGAATAAATAAATATAATATATATGCATACTTATTGTTATTACCTTTATATTAATTGGAAATAAAGATATTAACTCTTATATGATATTAAAACATTATATACCTTAACTGTTGCAGGATATCATTATATTTACTCGTAATAATAATTAATAGGTAATTATTATAATAATTGTTTAATATCAGTAACATAWCTYGATAAAATTATATTAAGTATGTTCCTTTGTACTATATGATTTAACTGGTAGCGCAGTTACTKCAATCAGTCACGTAATGTAAKTAAATGTACGCTCCACCTGCTATCACTAGTTCCCGGATGGGTGACCACCCGGGTTCTTAGTGGCAAAAACCTTGCCAAAAATACACGTGTTGCTATAACCTAGCATACCAACCCTCACAAGGAAAAATCTACTAAGAATATAAYCACTCAATGGTTCTTGTTATAATAGGTTAATTATTTTTTTGGTTCTTTAAAGTGTTTTATTCAATTTGTTACAAAAATATGAACAATAAATACAATTGAGGAAGTAAATAAATAGTAAGCAGGTTTATTAAAAAAAAAAAATTAAACGAAAGACATCATAGTTAGAAATAATTTAACAATTAATATTTTTTACGTACACTGAAAATTAAATTTTAACGATAGAAAATGTAAAATATAAATATTCTTAAACTTATTAATTACTATAAACCCAAATATATGTACCTATATTGTTTACAAATGAGCCATATATTTTATTTTATTATTTGTATTCAAAATCAACGCATAATTATGTATTTACAGAATGATTAAATATTTAAATGAACAAATAATTAATGAGTAATTAACTAAAGCCATTATAYATAAAACAAGTTTTTAACTAGTATTTTTAAAYTAATTATAAAGCTATAAGTTTCAGTGAATTATTTACCTAGTTAAGGCGATGCCACACCGTCTCCATCCGTAATAAATTTATCCATGAAAACTGTTTTTACATTAGCCTTACCTAATTTTTACCATGAGTATATTATATTATACATTAATGATGTGAAAGAAATTAATGTATGTCATTGCGTGTTTATGTTTTTAAGAACTTGAAACAATCCAAAATATTCATTTATACAGATTACTTTTTTATTTTTTCATTTATTTATTTAAAAAACACTAAGTTATAGTAACAAAAAACGTTTCAACATAGATAAAGTTATTTTCTTTTCTATATTTAGTATGACGAATTGATAAATTTTTCATAAACAATGTATAACTATGTCTCACGCGTAATGGCKAAACCGTTTTTCTATATAATCTCATTACCTATTAGGTACCATTGTTRTTATACCGACATGGGGCCACTTWAAAAATATCTTAAATTAGTATTTAAATTAACCTAAGATTGATTATCCTATTATTTCTTCTCAAAATGCATTAAAATTGCSTATATTAAACCACTCAAATGCGGGTATGTGCGGCAGATTTGTTTTCCAAGACGTTCAGTTATTAAGAAAATTAACAAGCAGGTTAGGTTAAAATATTAAGAAAATAATTAACTTTGCTATAACGCATTAACTATAGTTGATTCTCGACAAAATTATGTATATTTAAAAATTAAAAGTAATCGTTACCTAGTTGAGGATAACGAACAGTTTAGTAATAAATTAATAACAGATATTTATCGTTTTGCAAAAATACCTAATAATCGTTAACATTAATATGTATAGATTAGGTTATTTCTATTTTTTTTTTGTTCAAAAACTAGGAACGGGTGGAAACTGTTCATCGCAACACACTGCCACCAAGTAACTATATTTTTAGTCGTTAGAAATTATTGAAGTTCACGCTTACGCGCTTCGATCGTTCATCTGAAATTATAGATACTTAAAGGTTATTTTTATAAATGAATATATATATAGTTATATTATGCATTATGTGATAATTTTATAAACGAAAGATTTTTATGTAAACATGTTCATTCAATTATTGTTTTTAGAATTCCAACCACGTACAAATTTAACTCGTTCGTACTATATTGTTATACAATATTTTTAAGTTTAAGCCAACGTATTATTTCTATACTTTGGTGCATTCACGTCAGATAGATTTTAACCAAAGGGCTTGTTGTAAAAATCAGATAAGTCAACTTTTTTTAGAAATTCACTACAAGTGGTGCATTTAGTGTATATATATATTATATATATACATATAAGTATATTTTTATAGTTTATGGACTATAATCTGATTTTCTTTTTTTGACGTAAGTCAATTGATTTTTCCTGCAGTTAATGGTTCCATTTTAAAATTTAATAAAAAAACTACTTTTACTTGTATTTATAGTCTGCAACATAATAAAAAATTATTCTACCATATGCCCATAAATTCTACCATTTTCGACTAGGTAGTTTCTTTTAAATAGAAAACGAAAATATTATGGGAAAAACTATATCTTAAGTTAATGAATATAACTTATAAATGTTGAGTTTTTTTTTAAACACAAAAGTTCAGTTTTTTCTCGTTGAYWAGTTATAGTCAAAAGGTGGACTTGTGCGGCTTAGAARCTATCGCTCGTCACAGACTACGTTACATTGGCGAGTTGCCTGATGGCTTACCTGGCAAGTTCATTGCGGACGAGAACATGGTCGGCCGCCCTGGGTGATGGTCCTGGTGATGTCCGTGGTGGTGTCCACGGGCGGCTGCTGCGGCTGCGGCGGCAGCGGCAGATGTTACGCCGGTGCCGTTGTGTCCGTTGCCGGACGCGGCGGCCGCTGCTGCCGCGGCGGCCGACAGGTGATGGCCCATGGCCGTATTGTACGACCGGGCGGCCATGGACGCAGTGGGACCGAACCGATATGCGGCGTGCGTCATCTGGCCACACGCGGTCAGGTCGCCGTATCCCATGGCCGCGTGGTCCATGTTGGACGCGGCCGTGGTGGTGCCGGTCAGACCGTCGAAGTTGGCTTGGTTCAGATATGAGTAGTCCATGACGATGCGGCGTGCTATCACGTACCGTTATCTCATCGGGCGGCGTGCACGTGCGTATCAACGACGATACAATGACGTACTATATATTTACGATACTGCGGACGATGCAACTGCTGCAATCGCAAGGCGACTTTAATCACGCGATATGTGCGAAAAACGTTTGGTGGTWGATATACCGGTTAGGTATATTGCAATGTAGTTGTTATTTGTCGTAGTATTTTGCTGCTGATGACGCTACAGGTCCAATACGTGTGTGGCCCAACCAGAGCGAAATCAAGTGAGGAAAACGTCCGCGGAAAACGAGGGGAGTCGACTTCAATAGCAAAAACCGGCCCGTACGTAAAATTGTCTAATACAGATAATAATAATTTTACATCCGTAAATAGGTACAACACTGATGATGATATAATAATAATAATAATAATAATAATAATATGTTCGGCAATATAGTTTCATACACGTCGTATTGTAAGTGGTGAGAAGAGGACGGCGGCGGCGGCGGCGGTGGACGCGGTGGCGGACAGTAGAAGAGGACGTCGACGACGACGGCGACGGCGATGATTACGGTGGCGCGCGCGCGGCGGTTACATACGACGATGTCGTCGGTTCCAAATCAAATGATGGCCCTGCGTAATTCAATAACTGGCCACCGCGTAGAAAAGTGCGAATAACCCACCCCTTTTATTCGGTCGGCGGCGCGCGGCGTGCCGGTCACCGCCGCCGCCGCCACTACCACCGCCGGAGGGGCACATACGGCAGCAGTGGCTTTGCGGCCCCCGGAATGGGCGGAGCGTTCCCGGCCGACACACTCGCCCCCGCAGCGCTATTGGTCTTGCGGCGCGCGCGCAACCCTTAGCCCTCCACCACCACTGCTGCCACACCCCTCTTCGCGATTTGTGACCACGACCACCCCACATGATGCAGTGGTGGGAGGGGGTGAGCGCGCGGGGAGCGACGTAC